TTACTCCCACGTAGGCCACTCAAGATAATGAAAAGATTTTATTTTGACACAAAGAACTTAGAAGAAGCAAAGAGAAAACTTCTGTGACCTTTTTAATGACTTAAAAAAAAACAAAACAACGAACAAACAAAATAACAGTTAGTCTCCAGAAGTCCCTACTCCCATCATCTCTGCCAGGACAAGCAGCAGAGTGTCCACAGACAAATCAGCTTGCATCTAATAGTGTGTGGGGTCTTAACCATCCTTGGCAACTCCTGATACCTTGAGTTGCACTTGCTTAATTACCTGGGATATGGAATATGGGTTTGCTTTAATGGGTTTGTTTTGCTGCCTTTAGGAGCAGTTTCAGGACAGTAAAGCAGAAGGAGATCCCACGTACTTCCCCCTAAGTATCTCTTACTAAACTTTTATAGTATATTAAAGAAGGAAGATACTTCCTTCTGCTCCAGTGAGTGGACAGGTGCTGCTGTACCTTCTTGGGAATTCATAGTCCTTGGGATGAGGACCTCTGCAGGGTTTCCATTCCAATTTATAACCTAACTCAACCCCTTATCTTTTTTAAAACAATTTATTTTTATTTTACTTGCATTGGTATTTTGCCTGCATGTATGTCTGTGTGAGGGTGTCAGATATTGGTGTCATATACAGATATGAGCTGCCATGTGGGTGCTAGGAATTGAACTCAGGTCCTCTTAACCACTGAGCCAGCTCTCCATTCCCAATCACTTATCTTTCACCTTAGATATCAGGCTACTGAACACTCACAAGTGGCAACTGTGTCCATACCAGGGGCCTGCTAACTGGGTTTCTGTGCCAGCAGATGCCTTCTCCGGGTCCTTCCTCCTTACAGGCTCCAGAAGATGAGGTGTATTTTCTGCATCTCAGAGATGCACTTTGACGTGATTTTGAGTATTTGAAATAGTTGGATGTAGAAAGATTGTCAGCACTTCTAGCATCTCTTCTTCATAAGGGAATACCCTCCATGGCTGCAGTGGAGAGGCAAGTACTCCATGGTAGAATTTGCCTCAGTGCTGGAATGAGTCACCTTTCTCTGTGCATCCTCTGAGCTTTCCTTGCAGAAATCTGACTACATTTTAAGAACAGATTCTCATTCGTCTTTTATTCTCTGTAGAATATTGGTCAGCAGTGTCATTGCCCATAATAGCTGAAAGTAATGAATCCCCACCTGTTTATGTGCCCAGCCAACACATATTTGCTGAGAACACTCTGTGCCAGGTACTGAACCATGTGGCAGTGAAAGGGAATCTTCACTCTCAGGGTAACTCCCCTGTGAATCCAAGCTACAGAAAGATGTGCTAGCAAGATGAGCCTTGGGGGGGACTGTCAAATAGAGATGTGATGTAATTGCTTGTGGTAAGACAAGGACACACTGAGGTGCAGCACTACTCACTGTGTAAGCCAGACATCAGGAAGGTTAACTCTATGTGCAAACACTCAGTGGGAGTATTGCTCATAGTGCAGTAAACAGAGTGACATAGGAGTATTTAGACGTGTCCTGTCTATCTTTTTTTTTCCAAGTGCACCCTACAGACACAACGCCCAGATGCCCCCACTTTATTTTGTGACAGTGTGAGCATCCCCACATTCTGTTCTTTTCCACACTGTGTGACATGAGCAATCCTACATGTCAATATCAAGTGGGCTGTGATCTAAGCAGTTTTACCCAAGGTCAGCATTCTCAGTTTCTGCACAAAAGGTCAATAATGACAGAAATGTATTAAAAACCCATAGGAAGTAAAAACAAATGACCTAGAAGGTACCTTGGTGGCACCATTAAATGTCAGCACACAAGCAACTTAAGTCTAGCTCAGTGTCTGTTCAAGAGGAAGGGATGAAACATTTCAAACAACAAATGATGAAATCAGTTTGGTAATCAGAAGACCTTCATCCCAAGAACCTTCAGAAGTTGCTTTAAAGAAGAAAAGGAAAGAAAAAATGGCCATAGATAAGATAAGGAACAGAGAATTCAAGAGAACTGAGAAATCAGTTACACTGACTCACAGATACCAACTGATAAGAGAGGAACACTCTGGCTAGAGGCTAAGCAATAGTTGGCTGCAACTAGCTAGGGTTACTTCAGCAGTGCAGGTGGGCTCCTTTCCTTGGATGATCAGGGACCTGAACAGAGAAACCCCTTCGATCCTCAGTGTCTGGCCAACAACACCAGACAGAGTGTTAGTCTAAGTCATAGTTCTGAGTACTGTGCACACCCAGGCTGGTGAGTGAGCACCCAGCAGAGATTCTCAGTGGCATGTCCTGCGTAAGAGATGTTCAGCTCCAGCTCTGGGAGCAGCTGTGTAGCCTGACCCCGTGGTTCAAACTCCATGGCCCTTACTATTTCCATAAATCTGCAAAGTGGTGCTGCAAAGATCTTGCCGGTAGTTAAGAAACACTGTCACAACAACAGATAGCAGATTATTACAGTTATATAAGTGACATATGATGGCAGTTTATGGTAGCACAGTGGGTTTATTTTCATTTATCTATTTATTTATTTAGAGACAAAGTCTCATGTCGACTAAGTCGGCCTCATGTGATTTCAAACTTGCTGTGAGGTCAAAGATAACCTTGACCTTCTGGTCTTTCTGCTTCCACCTCCTAAGTGCCAGGGTTACAGAAGAGCACCCCAATTTTCTGTTGACAACACTCTAAGGGTGGAACCCCAGGGAATCCCACATTGCAAAGCAAGCACTCTACCAACTGAATCGTGTCCTCTGACCTTAATTTTTTTTTCTTTTTTTTTGCCCCAAAATCTCATGTTCTCATTTTATGGATAAGCAAGTGGAAGCCCAAAGAAATTAGGGCCTGTACCTGAGGACATGAGAGAGAATGGCAGCATGGGGTGACCTCTTCCAAGTTGAGTAGTAGTGGGTATCTGCCAGTGGGTAGTGGGATGTGAGTAGTGGCAGCATAGAAAACCATCCTTTAGTGAATGCTTGAAGGAAGGATACTGCAATTAAGTAAATTTTGTGGGCCTCTGGAGCCTCCTGATGCAGTCTCCAGATCTCTTCGACATCAACCTCAGGTGTGGGCAGCTCAGTGCCAGTGGGTTCCCAGCACATGTCCACTTTACCAAGAAGGCTGGGGAGTGCCTGGATTTTGAGAAAGCTATGGCTAAGGAAGCCCCAGTCACAGGATTCTGTGTACAAGCAGCCCACCGATTTAAGGAGCTTAGAGGCCAGACAGGGCATTTGTGGAAATCCCCGTTTCAGGAACAACAAGGCCCCCACATGCAGCTCCCACACCATCTTGCATGCCCTGTTCTCGCCCAATGACCTCCCCTCTGTTAGGGTACTGTGGTTTCATCAAGAAACTATAGCCTACCAAAGTTCAGCTCCAAGCCCCACTCTCCAGCAGAGCTCTGCTGTTTTCTAAGACCCTGTGATCTGCACCAAGTAAGACTGAGATCATTGCCAGCTCTGCCCTTCCTGACCAACCGTATGTCCAGGAATAGCCCATCTGCCTTCATGAACTAAAATTGCTCTTCAGCCTCTAGTGAGGTGATCAGTGGGAGGTCACCTGAGTTCAGCCATCTGTCATTCCTAGTGCACTGGTCTGATATCTTGCAGCAACCGCCTTGTACAATAAGGCACATGGGTGCCTTTCAATCAAGTTTAGATTAGGCACAATCTATGGGAAACACCATAGTAAAAGTACTGGAATGTAACAAGGGTGTGAAATGAACAAGCATAAATTCATTCTCTGTTCTACACAAGTCTTGAAAGTTAGGGAGAATCCAGCCAATGGAATTACCCATCCAAACTGCTGCCAGCCCAGAATTCAGTTCCCAAGTCCATTCTCCTCATCAGGGCACGGTGTTGACTAGGCTTTCAGACATGAGGAGTCAGGCAGACACACACTGGAAGCTTCTCTTTGATGAAGGGTGTACAATCAATCACTAGAGATGACCGATGGGGTCCTGGAGCTGGACCACAGGCAAAGACAGGATGAAATGTGTAGGCAGAGTTTCTCTGTGTCCCAGAAGCTGCTCCCAAATGACCACGTAGAGACTTAATTATAAATGCCTGACCAATAGCTTAGGCTTATCTCCAGTCAACTCCTACAACTGAAATTAACCCATGTTGTTAATCTATGTGCTACCCTGAGGTTTGTTTACCTCACCTATGAACTTCCCATGTTGTTACTTTCACATCTGACTCCAGACTCCTCAGACCCCACACTTCTTCTTCCCAGCATTCTCTCTGCACCCAAAATCCTGCCTAGCTATCAACCAATCCACTTTTTATTAACAATGAGAGTAACACTTTTCACAATGTACAGAAGGGTTATTCCACAATAGAAATGCTTTAGGCTTCACCCACAGAGGACAAATCCTGCCTTCCTAGTTCTGGATGTTCTTTGCTCCAGAATAGACTGGAGTTCAGGAGTTCACAAAGCTCCTGAAGTCCTGATGAGTTGGTGTCATCCCAAGATAGAATCCTCAGGGTCCATCCCAGGGCAAGGTATCCTGGGGCTGTCAGTTACATGGCTGGCATTACTGATGCCAGAGATAACCCTTGTTCAAGGGAAATCTGTCCCAGCATCTGCCCCCCCTCCACAGCCAGGCTAGAGGCCTCTCCACAGGGTTCCCAGTTGCCAAAAGTTTTTGAACTCAGGTTAAAGCAGCAAATGTCACTACTAAGAAACAGCAGGTAATGGTGCACTGAAGCTTAACTCTTTTGAAGTGGTGGTGCACAGGCTTTGGCCCTCTGAGGTAGTTAGAGTCATGCAATATGTGAAAAGAAGCAGCCCCCAAATAGTTTACTGGGCCTCCTGAGGGGCCTACTGCAGCCCCCAGTAACAAGTTCACAGTCATGTTGGTTTTCTTGTACTAGCACTTAGAGGGCAGCAGTTGGCGCCCTTGTAGACAGAGTTCTGCATGCAGCATCCTGGACAGTGGTGAGGGTCTCCTTCAGCCAAGGCCTCTCTGTGGCCCAGCTCCATGGCCCTACCAGTTAGCTCTAGTGACTGTCCACCAGTGAACATTCTCTCTTGGAATCCTTCTGACTAGAGTTGAAGAGGTACCATGCCTACAGCTACGAAACAGTCCAGCTCCAAACTCCTACCTCTGCAGCTTGTAAGCCTATGTGGGAGAACTGTGCCTATCGGTTGAGATAAATAAAGCAGATGCTGAGTATCAGCAGTGCCCAGCTGGCATGCAGGCTCACTGTACTGTTGCAGAGGTCCGTGTTGCAGCAGGAAGCCTTGGAATTACTCGTGTTCTGATGGGCATCAGGGCAGGTAAATGCACATGTTTTTGTCACAGTTGTTTGCTGACCTGGGGGTGCTGGAAACAGAAGACAGAGGGCCATTTATTGAGAACTATAAGACTCACTCCTGGTCCTATGAGAAAACCCAAGCCACCTACAACCTCCAGGTCAAAGGGACACACAGCAAGAGGTCAGGAGGGTGACCAGGAACAGGGCTCAGTATGTGGACAAGATTAAGGATTAGTATAAAACCCAGAGTCAGGGCTCAATGTGATGAAGACCAAGGCTCAGAGTATAACCAGGGTTAAGGTTCAGAGTATGACCAGAACCGGGTTCAATATGAGACCCAAGGTCAGAGGCTCAGGAATGTGACCAAAGTTACCCACTCCGAATAGTTCTCTGCTTTCCTTCCTGAGCAGCCAGCACTCTTGGGAACAGTTAGAATCATACATTTCACATGGCTTCACTACATACTATGGCTCACTTGGGAATATCCCACCCTCTCTAAAACAATAATGTTGGTTCCATTTTGAAGGGAGGGCAGAGCACTCAAAACCCATCAACAACTGGACTCTCAGAGCCATAATGTCCCAGTTCTCCCAATTCTGCCAGCAAGCTTTGCCTTATCCAGGTGCCCAATACAAGGTTCTGCCCCCTGACCCACCCACCTAGAATCAAGGTACTCACCATACCAGGAGGTCAAACAGTAGCGGCTTATGCTGTTGCAAGATGTAGGGTTGTAGCAGTTCCCTATGGCATTACACTCGTGACACTTCAGTGCCTGAGCTGGAAGGACATAACTGGGGTCAGTGACAGAGGCACTCCATAACCACACCAGACAGTACAGGATGCACAGACAGTTTTGTGGAAAGCACTGACCACCAAGCAACCCATTCGGTTCTCCAGCCACCCACTTGGACAGCCTCTTGGCAGCCATGCTGACATACAGGGCATAGAGCTCCGTCTCTAGCCAGGAAACCAGAGCTCTAAGCAATAAGCAGTCCATGCTGCTGGTCATATGCCTGCCACAGGAGAAGGTCACAAGACAAATAATGTTAATTCTACAAAACTTTGCAAAAAAGACAGCAAGTCCAACAGAATACCTAGACTTAATAGGAAAGGTGGGACCAGTGAGATGGTTCAATGGGTAGAAGCACTTGCTGCCAAGCCCAAAGACCTGAGCTCAATCTCACATGGTAGAAGAGAATCAATTCCAACAAGTTGTCTGCTGACCTCCACATGCACACTTTGGTATGACCACATCCATGTGCATGCACAGAGAGAGAGAGAGAGAGAGAGAGAGAGAGAGAGAGAGAGAGAGAGAGAGAGAGCGCAAGCACACACACAAACAGAGAGAGAGCAGGCACACACACAAACAGAGAGCGAGAGAGAAAGCAGGCACACACACAATACAGAGAGAGCACAGAGAGAGAGCACAGAGGAAGAGAGAGCAGGCACACACATACACAGAGAGAGATAGAGAGAGAGTACAGTGAGAGAGAGCACACACTGAGAGAGAGAGAAAGAGAATATTAATTTAACAAAAGAATTTTAAGGTGAGTGAAGACACCACAAAAGGGTTCCATGGCTAGACTGTGGCCCCATTCCCAGATCAAGCAGCCTGGCTGTAAGACCTCCAGCAAGTCTTGTCCCCTAACCCAGTACCTCCACATCATCTGGAGGTAGAGGTCCAGCCAGGTCAGGATATAAGCCAGAGTCCTCAGGAGCTCTGATGACCTAGGATAGGGGTACCTGGCTCACCTGTGGAGCCCATCAAAATCAGGGGCAACAACCAAAGCAGATAAGTCCTCATCTTGGGCAATGGGGATAAACAGAGCTTGTGTCTGTATCTGGCTAACACTCGACCAGCCTGTCTTTATAGTCCCTCCTGCTGTGGTGGGCAGGGCCTCAGTCTCTCCCCTGACTACATACGTGTGTCACCTCTAGGGGTGTGGTTGTCTGGAAAATACCTCCAAGACTGCCTTGCCCAGCACTCCAAACACTCTTCCCAATTCCCATCCTCTCTTTCTCCAGCTCCCTACAAAGACCTCACCCATACCCCAGCCAGCTGTGTTGCTCTGACTCCAGCCAGGCCATCATCCAAGAACCATTGTCTGTCCATTGTCCATCTTGGGAAATGTTCCAGACAGGACTGAAACACTGGAAAAGTGTCTTCTCATGGTGCAGGATGAAGGAGCCGCAGGTCACAGTACCCATAGGTGACATCCTCTCAAAGTTCCACTCATTGGTGCATAGATGGCATGTTCCCCTCATATCCTCACATGTCACCACCTTTTATGGTAAGGACACCTATCAGATGGGATTGGGCCACCTAAGTAACTTCCCCATACCAATTTAATAGCCAGTTTCCCAACAGTCCCAACCTGAAGGACTGAGGGCTAGGGGTCTCAACATATGGATAGAATTCAGCCGATTTGCTGCCTAGTTTTATGTCAACTTGCCACAAGCTAGACTCAACTGAGAGGGAGAGCCTCAGTTCCATAAAATGGGGCTGTAAGCAAGCCTGTAGGGCATTTTCTTAATTAGTGACTGCTGGAGGAGGGCCCAGCCCCTTGTGGATGAGGACATCCCTGGGATTGTGGCCCTGGGTTCTACAAGAAAGCAGGCTGGAGCTGGGTGGTGGTGGTGCACACCTTTAATTCCAGCACTCAGGAGGCAAAGGCAGGAAGATCTCTATGAGTTGGAGGCCAGCCTGGTCTACAGAGTAAGTCCCAGGACTGGCTCCATAGCTACTGAGAAACCCTGTCTCTAACTAAATAAATAGCTGAGCAAGTCCAGAGGAGTAAGCCAGTAAGCAGCACTCCTCCGGCACCCTTCAGTGACCTCTGCATCAGTCCCTGCCTCCATTTCCTGCCCCATTTGAGTTCCTTCCCCATTTGTCTTCCAAGATGAACTGTGGTATGGAAGTGTAACCAAAATAAACTTTTTCCTCCACAGGTTTCAACATGGACCAGACCATGCCCACAATTACAAAATAGGAAAGAGGCAAAAGTGGATGAAACCTACCTCCTCAGAGCCCCTCCGAGCCTCTCAGCTCCTCCAATAAGTCCAGGGAAGGTACTCACCATGGCCTGCCACAGGACAGAGAGGAATCCATAGTAACATTCACACAATAAGCAGAAAAACAAAAAGGAGACACAATGGAGAACATTGATCTGGGAATGATGGGGGTCAATGGGCTGAGCATATTGGAGGCCAGTGGGCTGGGAATTCTGGGTGTCAGTGGACTGGGGGTGCTAGGTATCAGTGGGCTGGGGATGCTGGAGGACAATGAGCTGGGAATGCTGGGGAACAGTAGGCTGTGAATGCTGGGGGGACAGTAGGCTGGGAATTCTGAGGGACAGTGGGCTGGGAATCCTGAGGGACAGAGAATTAGAGATAATAGAAGCAGCAGGCTGGAGATGCTGAGAGACAGGGCTCTGGAAGCAGGTCAGTGTCCATTTATAGGCTGAGCAGGACTCAGGTCTGTATTCAGTGATGCCAAGTGTAAAAATTGGTCTTCCTTTCCAGTTTACAGGATTCTGGATGTAAATTTTTGTTCCTGTTTTATGGCAATGAAATGGGAAGCCCAAAGAGAAGGGACTGTGAGTTAGGGCTTTCCTCCCCTGGAGGCTGCATCTGCCCGTTGCTAAGAATTTTCCCAACAGGCTTGAAGCTCCCAGGACAAGGAAAGTATTCTGCTGTGCCACAGGCTTATGTCTGGTTCCCCTTCTGGGGTCCCAGCCATATTTAGGCAGGCCCATCCCATACCCATCCCAACCTGTCATAGATCAGAACTCAGGAAACCCCAGTGACAGGATCACATCCCACCCAGATGTTGGCCAGCTGCCAGACACAGTAGCCTCCAGCACCTGAGCCAGCTGTGCAATGAGAGCCTTTTACACACCATAATGCACTCAGGGAAGTGGCTGACTTCACAGCACTTCCCAGAAAAAAGCATATAAGGTTGAAGGCTGTGTGACCTCAGCCACTCTGCTGTCATGATCCTCTGGGTTAATAAGGATCAGGGGTTAACCTGGTGAGGCGCACATTAGTGATAAGGGACTTGGGCAACACCTTGACCAGTCATAACTGCCAGCCTAGAAGGGCTGTTTGTTGTCTTGATCCTCTAGACAACCTACACAGAACAGTAGAAAATCAACAGGTCTGCATCCCACCCAGAACCATTCACTTTCCAAGCCTAGGAAGTGAGAGACCACTTTCCAGGCCAGTGAGAGACCGTGTTTCAAAAAGACAGACAGGCAGGCAGACAGAGATAAACAGCCTGACAGAGGGGGACGGGGTATGTACAGGACCTACAACTGACTGACTTCTGGCCTCCATAAATATGAACACACATGTCCATGTGCATACTTGTGTGTGAGCGCCACATGAACACACACATAGATGAGGCTAGAGGGTCATAAAACATAGCATGGTATCTGAGGACAGAAGCAAGAAGGGAACATATATCAGAAAAGCTTTCTAGAAGCTGGAAGGATGGGCAGTGATGTTGCCCCCCAGAAGCAGGAGTGTGCACCTTTGCTGAGGTGATTTTGCCCCAGACGACCACACACTTGATCTCAGAAGTGTAAAGAATAAGTGCATGTGCATAGCATTATTTCAGGCTGTTGTATTTGTGGTCTTAGCCACCACAAGTGGCTAAACCATCAGTCATCCACTTGGCTAAGTGGACCAATGAGACATGAACCAAGGTTTGAGGTTCTGTCTTGAGGGGATTCAGCTGATGACCAAAAGGCAAGCACAGGAGCTCCTCAAAGAGTTCAGCTTCTGCCACAGAATGGATGAAAGAGGCCTTCCAGCTTCCATCCCCACTTCTGGAGGCCCCATGCCAGCCTTGGGCTTGCCCAATACACAGCAAGCAGGGTATGGGTGTAAGTAGCCTGTAATGGTTAGCAGTTGCACCCCACACCTCACAGACATGGTCCAGGCCCATCCCTACTGGACCCATAGTCTCTGAGACTCCAGGTCACTCTGACATGATACAGTCTTCACCAAGGATGTAGCACTAAAACAAAGTGTGTCTCTGTTTTCTGGAAGTGTTTTGGTTTTGGTTTCTTGAAGTCCAGGATGGACTTGAACTATTGGTCTTCCTCCCTCTTCCTCCAAAGAGCTGATAGCACAAATGTGTACTGTCACACCCAGTGTAGTGAGTTGGATTTTAGTAAACCTTTATTATGGTGGTTAAAACACACACAAGCATCTACCTTACCTTTGTTGTTAGTTAAACAGTTGAGTGCCAGTGAGCACATCAATGTTGAACCACCATCACCATCCATTAATCCACAGAATGCTTTCATCTCTCCAGACATAAATTTCCCCCATTAAACACTGAACCCCACCATCCTTTCCAGACTCTGGAACCCACCATCTCATTTTCTGTCTCTATGAGATTTGATTCCTCCAGGGACATCTCAAGGAGCCAACCTTGAACCTACTATGTAGCTGAGAGTGTGGTCTTGAATGTCTGATCCTCCTGCTTCTACCTCCCCAGTGTTGGGATTACAGGAAGACACCATCATGGCCATTTTATGCAGAACTGGTTATCAAATGCATGGCTTAGTGCATGCTAGGTATGGACTCTACTGACTGAGCCACATCCCCAGTTCAGCTTTTGTCCTTTTGCAACCTGGCTTGTTTTATTGGGCAGAATTCCCTCCTGATTCATCATGCAGCAACTCCTTCATTCAAATCTATTCTGATGGTATGTTACCAGGTACTCAAGTATGCATCATTGATATATCTTCTTGCTGTTTTGTACCTTTAATGTACACCTTCTTTGCCTAGAGTCAATTCTTCTGATTTGCTTCTGTCAAAGCTGCCATTTGGCTCCCTTCTGCCTAAACTTTTCTGCATTCTATTCACTTTTAACTTGTATAAATCTCTGTATCTCAAGAGATTTTGAGCCAGGGGAGGGTAGCTCAGTAATAAAAATTGTCTAGCATGCACAAAGACCAGGATTTGGCCCCATCACAGATAGATAGATAGATAGATAGATAGATAGATAGATAGATAGATAGATAGATTATTAATGTAGATGATATCAGTGGTTCCCAACCTCCCCAAATACTGCCACCCTTTAATACAGGTCCTCAAGTTGTGGTGATCCCTAACCATAAAATTTTTTTGCTACTTCATAGCTGTAATTTTACTACTGTTATGAATCGCAATACAAATATTTTTGAAGATAGAGATTCGCCAGAGGTCACGCCCCACAGGTTGAGAACCTCTGCAAGAGACAGATAAGGTGAGTATCTCATAGACAGTGCATAGTTGAATCATTTTTAAAGCAAATTCTAACAGCCTCCATCTCTTTTTTTTGCATGTGTATGTGGTATGCATGTATGTATATGTGTGTGTATTCACATGTATGTGAGCTGGTGTGTGCACACACACATGTGGATGCCCGAAGCTGACATCAAGAATCTTTCTCAGTCAGTCTCCACCTTATTCATTGAGGCAGGGCCTCTCAAACTAACCAAGAGCTCGCTAATAGGGCTTGTCTGGCCAGCTAGCTCCAGGGATTCCCCATCTCTACCTTCCATCTCTACCATCCCACATCCAAGAGGTAGCTCCCACCTGTAAGACAAGCACACTGTCCTCTGAACCGCCTCACCCACCCAGGTGCC